CCCACGCTCACCCCCAGCTGCCTCATCCCCAATTCCCAGCTCCTCCTCAGGCACTGCCGGGCTCTGGGCGCCCCCCAGGACCCCGCAGGCCCCCCCGGGGGGCTGCACTCACCAGGGACTGCAGGATGGCGTGGTTGGTGGCGTTCATGCAGGAGTCCAGCGGGAATGCACACTCCCCCTCGCAGTAATAGGCCGAGTATCCCTGCGGAGCGATCACCCAGTCCTGCAAAACCAAAAATAAAATGGGATTACACCCAGGGCTTCACCTTTCTGTGCCCACTCATCCATTCCCCACCTGCACAAACAGCTCGGCCACCTCCTCCCCGCGTGGCTGTGCCAGCAGCAAGGCTTTATTTGGATTTTTTGGACCAAGCCATGGGTTTATTTGGATTTTTTGACCAAGCCATGGGTTTATTTGGATTTTTTTGACTGAGCCATGGGTTTATTTGGATATTTTTGACCAAGCCATGGGTTTATTTGGATTTTTTGGACCGAGCCATGGGTTTATTTGGATTTTTTGGACTGAGCCACGGGTTTTTTGGGTTTTTTGGACCGAGCCATGAGTTGTTGGGGGTCACCCGTGGGGTTTGGGGTTGTGGCAGTTCACGTTTGCCTTCCCAGCTCCCGGGAGGGTTTCACAGGCAGGAGAATCCAGCCCAGGACAGGGGAATGGAATGATGGAGGGGTTTTTTTGGGTCATTTACTTCTCCCAGCAGACAAGTACCAGCCAGCCGAGGTCCTGGAAGCTGACGTAGAGCTCGTGGCGCCGGCAGACCTGCCGCCCGTCTGTGGCGTGGACATCGTCTGTGGGGAAAGGGGACACGGAATTTCAGCTCTGGAACCCCCATCCCACCCTTCTCCTGCACTCATCCCCCTCTGAGGAGGTTGGATACAGCCCCTGGGATTGGGGTTAGCCAGGAGAACCAAAGCAGGGGAGCATTTGCTGCTGCAGGAAGGGAAAAGCAGCTCCAGACACGCCTGTCCATAGATATTCCAATACTGGGATGAAGGAATTCTGCCTTGGAAGGGATAAACCCCAGCTATGCTCACTTTGAGGGTTTCCCAAACTCCCTGCTTTCAGGGCCTTCCTGTTCCCCTCCTGCCTGAGCTTTCTGGAGCTGTGACACCTTCCCAGGGCTCCGAAGCCAAGGGCAATGAGGCAAAAATTCCAATATTCAGTAATCCTGACATGCTCACGCCATTTCCTTGAGGGCATCCAACCCAAACCCTCTCTGCACCTCCCAAACCTCCCTTTCCCTTGGGTCAAAAATTGGGATTTCAAGGCGCTGACAAGCAGAGCCTCGTGTTCTCCATAGGGATCCCTCCTCCTCCTCCAGAAAACACCTCACCAAAAATTCCCGGGAGCTTGTTTGGGTGGGGGAGGTCGTTGGATTTCTTGTGTTGCCGCCTCCTCGGGGGTCTGGCCGCTCGTGTGACACGGCCAGGGCTGGGGCTGGCTCGGGAGAATGTCACCATGAAGGGCTGCTTGGAGCGGGGTCCCCGGCGCCCCAGGAGCCCGGCCGAGCCCGGATCCACGCTGTGCCCTGCGGGGGACACGACCGTGGGTGGCTTTGTCCTCAAACAGAACTCGTTTGGTTAAAGCAGAGATTGGAAATGCAGGGAATTCGCAGCAGGAGCTGCGGTTTTGGCTCCCCAAGGGGTTGGAGCCCCCTGAGGATTCTGTTCCAGCACCCAATGGGGCTGTTCAAGGATTAAAACCGATTTTCTGTGGAGGGAAAGGAATGGATGGGGCGTTCCTGGCTGTGATTCCTCCTCCCATGGAAGAGGAGCTGCTCCTTGCCTGCCTTCCCACCTGGAAAAGGCTGGAGCAGATTTAATCCCGTGGGGAAAAGAGGGTTAATCCTCTGCCACACACACAGAGGATCCCTCCAGGTAACGAGTTCATTAACGGGGTTAATTACAGTCCATGTACAGAACCTACAAACCCGGACTGCTGGCATTCATCACAGCTGGAAGTTTAAAATTGCTCTGAGATCAAGCCCACCCCCTCCCACCTCCCACGGCGCCGAGAGGACTCCAATTCCTGGGAATTTGGCCCCAAAGGCTGCAGGCAGGTCCGACACACTCACCATCGTCTGTCTCCACGTAGAGCCGCAGCCCCAGGTGGTGTTTCTGATCCCCTGACCAGTGGTTGCTGGCGGCTGTGACATCAAACACCAGCCAGCCCTCTGTCCCAGCACGCAGGTCCTGCACATCCAGCAGGAACAGGTCGGATTCCCTGCAGGAAGGGGGGGAGAAGGAGCAGGTGAGTAACAGCACCAGGATAATGAAGGGAAATGACTCCTGGGAGCTGTGTCCGGACAGATCCTGGCTCTCAGCGCTGGACACCACGGGGGTGTCCTGGGAAAAGCTCCCTCCACGTCCAGCTGGAGATGCCAGGGTGGGGCACAGCCCTGTGGGAGCAGCTGGACACGGCGCTGCTGCCTCGGCCGGGGTGGGAAAGCTGGGAGCTGGTCCCCATTCCTGTCTCCATCCTCATCACCTTCATCCCAGTTCCCACCCCCATCACCCCATTCCCCTCTTCCATTCTCATTCCCCTTATCTCCATTCCTGTACCTCCTCCTATTCCCATCATCTTCATCCCCATTCCCATCATCTTCATCCCCATCCTCATCATCTTCATCCCCATCCCCATCATCTTCATTCCCATTCCCATCATCCCCATTCCCATCATCTTCATCCCCATCCTCATCATCTTCATCCTCATTCCCATCATCTTCATCCCCATTCCCATCACCTTCAACCCCATTCCCATTTTCATCTCCATTCCCATCATCTTCATCCCCATCATCTTCATTCCCATTCCCATCATCTTCATCCCCATTCCCATCATCTTCATCCCCATTCCCATCACCTTCAACCCCATTCCCATTTTCATCTCCATTCCCATCATCTTCATTCCCACTCCCATCATTTTCATCCTCATTCCCATTTTCATCCCCACTCCCATCATCTTCATCCCCATCCCCATCATCTTCATCCCCATCCCCATCATCTTCATCCCCATTCCCATCATCTTCATCCCCATTCCCATCATCTTCATCCCCATCATCTTCATCCTCATTCCCATCATCTTCATCCCCATCATCTTCATCCTCATTCCCATCATCTTCATCCCCATTTCCAT